ACCTTAGCGGTGACTTCGTTGTGGAAGTAAACGAGGACGGTCACTAAGGAATAGGCTGTTAGGATAATACAACGTGAGCACGATCTGGGAACTCAAATCATTCTTATAATACTGACACTTCCTCGCTGAAGAAGGGTGGAGCAGAGATTCGGCGATCAACGAAAGCGAAAACAGAGTTCTGACCCCAACCGCGAAGTTTAGATTCACTGATCCTATTATTACATCGCACGATTTGGCATTAAAACATAAACATGGTGGAAGAATGTGAAACTCGTTACCGTCTGAACAAGAGCATTACGAAGTGAAAGTATGAACAAGATTAATCACTCTCCTCCAATAGCAGGTTGACAAGAACTTGGCAACAGATTATAAAACTCAGTCCCATGTTCGCTTTAAATTTCTATTTTTAACCGACGTGCCTATGTTGAATAACGCGTACATATTGCCCGCCATGCTACTAGTGACCTTGGCCTTGCACGTTCGCTATGGCTACGTAAGTACATTTATTATCATTTAAGGCCAAATAGCTTGCTGGCATGCCAGCTAATTTTCTTCTTACACTTGGCTCATTCGAAGCATGAACGTTAATTAAAACTGCAAGGGCAGATTACATTACGGTGCTGTACAGTCCACAAAAACAGTTCCAACAAAGACCGTATATTTATATTTACAGGGACTTGTGGGTAAACCATGTTTTTAACACACACACACCTACGAAGTATTTAACCAATGCAAATGAACAACAAAAATATATTTTTTCCGAGTGTCCCCTGAAAAAACGGCCTGAAATAATGAAACGGCAACAGGACAAGTGTTAGTAATAAACTCGAGATAGGATATCCGTTCCATATCACTGGCCGTCATGTTACTGCTAGTAATGGAACGTATTATGAATAGCGTAACAATGGCAAACACTTGTCTTTCAATTCACATTCCTTTGAATAAATCTGAATAAACTGTCGTCGACTACTGTGTCTTTAAACATGATTAGTGAAAGCTGCCCCATCCCGTATAATCCACAGTGCTTAAAATAAATTTTCCTTAACAAAAGTCAAAAAGAAATGTGGCACTATCAACACCATGTACCAAGAAAGAAGAAATACATGAACAAAGGTATGGAACTATACTCAATATTCTTGATGATTACTATTCTCAGTTACTTTTTCACATACTGTTCATTACTTTTATTTTTTGAGTATATGTTTAACGCCCAATATGGCTATCAACAGGATCGAATGCAGTGCACTAGAACTGTATCACATATTCTTTTTCCTTGATATTGTCTCAAATAATAATAAAATTATGTTATTAGTATTTTACACAACATGTAGTTCAACAAAACAAAACTACTGAGTAAGTGAATGTATGAAAAAGTGACAAAATAATCAAGACTCAACATAACACACCAGGACGCTACACTACAGACGCTATTGAAAACGGTAAGTATACAGGTAGTCCCTTCATTTAGCTGGTCAATAAATTTTGTAACTTACAAAACATTAAAGTTCTTCACTAAAGCCTACCATAGAAACCATACCCATAAAATTACAAATATGATTCTTCAATCTGTATTTG